TTCACATCTGTCTCGTTAGGGAAAAAAAAAAAAAAACAAAAAAAAAACAGCAAAAACCAAACAGTACTTTCGAACAGGAGAGCTTGAAGAAAAGAGAGTGGCTGGCGAGAAGCAGCTGGGCCATACGCAGCAAACAGCAAGGGCTGATAACAAACCCTGCAGTCTGTACGACCTGCGCTGCTGCTCTTGCTTTAGTGTGGATACTTCAGTGGGATCAGTCTTTGCCCCCGCCACCCCAGATGGTCGGCGATGGTCTCCTTAGCAAGGAGATGGTATTGGCGCACGTCTCCGGTGGAGTCTGCGGATGGCTCATGCCCGACTAGGGGGAGGGAAGGGCTGGCACTGCTGGGCTGGCAGCACCTTGTCCACTCACTCGCTCTGGGAGTGAAGTCTCAAGGGTGAAATGAAGCAGCGAGTTGTGATTTGGACAAAGTGCATCGTTAGCTGAGGCGGCCTCGATTATGCACTCCAGCCTTTATCAGCTCCTTTCCTCTATTAAACTTGGAGGGAACTGCTCCATGTCCAACGCTTTCCCTAGGCTGCTGGCGAGGGGAGGGCTGTGTCAGCTGGCACAGACCCCCACCCTCCCTCTCCAGGGTCTGGGCACACCTCGTGGCTTCGAGGGCTCGGTGTAAGGGCCGCGTCACCTCTCTTTGCAGGGTGCGGTGAAGCAGGTGGGGGGCAGCATCATCCCCCATGACTCGTCCCCCTCTGCTTTGCCTCCGCTGCTGGACAAGCTTCTGGTCTTGGGGCTGCGCCAGAGCTTTCTCAACGCAGCCCTGTCCCTCATGGTCCAGATACCGCCGCAGACCTTCACCTGCACGCCAGAAGTCGTGAGTGTGGCAGCACCCGTGTCTCATGCGGGGGGAGGTGGCAAGGGACACAGCCAGACCGTGGCTCGGCTCAGGGAGCGGGGCTGTGCATGGCGTGGCACGCAGCCGGTCCGGGGCCTGCGGGTGGATGTGCTCCCGCTCCAGCCCCAGCACCGCCTCCTTGCTGCTCTTTCCAGAAAGCCGTAATAGCACGTGCCACGGTCGGCCCTTCTTGTTTCTGTACAAGCACCCCCAGGGATACCTATTGAAACCAGTTGTATACTGGTTATGCCATGAGCTCCTGGAGGTCTGTAATCCATTTCAAGGAGCCTGCAAAATGTCACTGAGGAAAGCAGCTTTGTGCATGTGATGCAATTCTCTAGGCACACGCGTTTTCTCTACTTCCACCGGGAGATATCAGGGGTCTGCACGCCGACAAGTGGTGAAGCCTCTGGGTTGCATCTCCTTCCGCTGGTGGTTGCTCTCACCTTAACGGCTGATGGGGACTCGCCCAGGCAGCTGGGGAGCAACAGAGAGGGTGGAGGGCTCGGGGTGCTGCTGTAGCGTCGGTCTGTGTGTGACTGAGCTGCCTGGGGCTTCACTGGGGACAGGGAGCGGATGAGGGCTCGGGGACTGGCCCCAGGGGTGCAAACAAGCTGACTGGGAACAGGGACACATGTGGCCCCGGCAGGGCGGGTGTTGCTGAAATCAGCTGGAGTGCTCATCGGGGCTGCTTGCGCTTTTGTTCCAACAGTTCTCCGGTGCCAGCCGTCTGCAGGAAGCCATCACGACCCTCGTTCCTGCCGGGGTGAGTAATTAGTGTAAACCTTGCCAGGTCCGAGGCCAAGCGATGCACCTGGATGTGCCGGTGTGCTGCCGCCAAAGGTCTCCAGACTCCTGCTCCCCTCAGCCACGCCAGCCATGCCAGCATAGCTCAAGGCTACCCTGCTGTCCGACCGGCTGCTTGGAGTGTGGGAAGGGGCTGGAGGTTGGTGCCCAGCCCTTGGCAGCCTCTGCGCGGTGCCATCGGCTCTAGCCAACCTTCTCCTGCTCCCTAAGCAGGGAAACGTCCTCTCTCACAGCCATTGACAGAAAGAGCTGATAAATGTCTGGCATCTCCTGCTTCCTGGGCACCACGGGCACCCCCTTACGGCTGCAGCCCCCTTCGTGCCCACCTTGGCTTCCTCAGCCCCTTACTGCCCGCAGCAAGGGGTGCTGACCCATGCTGCCAGACCTCTTTGCTCTGTAAACCTGGCTTGTCCAAGGTCTGTGTGACCTTGGGGGAAGCCCTACAGAGTTACAGGGCTGTGAGAGCCCACCAGAGGAGTGCCAGTCCCCTGTCTGGCCAGTGTGTGGGGTGCAGGTAGCCACCTTTGTGCGTCCCTGATTCCCACAGTGCTCCCGCTGCCAAGGGACCAGTCCTCTGAGCATTAAGCTAACGTTGTCTGGGAACCCACTCATCCTCTTGGAAGAGAACAAGGCCACCATCGAGCTTTCGGTCATGATTCAGCTGTTTGTTAAGCGTTCAGACGGATCCATCCTCAACCTCCTGCTGCTGACGGCTGTAAGTGTGGATGTAAAGCCCACAAACTGGTGAGGTGTGGAGCCGGCCGGGTGACTGGCAGCTGGGATTGGGGTGTCTCCATGGACTGATCCTCTCCCTGTCTCCTTGCAGGGCCTCCACCTAAACACCCACGCGTCGGTTGTTGGAGACAGGCTGGTGCTGGAGGTGTCCCTGGGCAGGTAGGCTGTCCCCGCAGCGGCTGCAACGCCCCAGCCTGCTCCCCCGCGACAGCCCTGGGTGTTCAGCCCTGCTGGGAAGCTCTGGCTTTCCCGGAGCTCAGGGTACAGGTTTAGTTTTCTGGGAGGTGGTGGCCAGAAGAGAGCAGGACAGCAGGAAGGGCTGCAATTCACCAGGGACGCTCCGAGTGCTGTAACGCGTGTCCCTCGGTGACACGGCGCTGCTGGAGGTGCCTGAGCTACGGCAGAAGGGACGGGAGCGTGACACGGCCGGGCAGCGCTGCCCTCTTACAGGCCGGGGACACTCTGCTGTGTGGCGTTAGCTCTGGGGCCGCTGGAATGTGTTTTGGTGGCTGTAAACCAGACATTTCACTTCCTGAACCTGAGAGCTTCATACCTGGCTGATGGCATGAGGTGGACGAGTGTTGCTGACTTTCAGCAAACATGGCAGCAGGGGGAAAGTTTTTGGAGACTGGAGGAAAAGTCTATGTCAGTTTTATAACAAGGAGAAATGAGGTAACCTGAATAATTGTAAGACTCTTCAGCTTGACTTTGATCCCGGGCAGTAGTTTGAAATGTCTGATATTGGACATGAGTGATAAAGGAGCAAAGGGAAGTGCTGTCGTTAGTGCCAGTCAAGGTGTGATTAAAGATCGGAAAGCATTCCTTATGGTGTGAGGTCTGAGATTTCAAGCCATTTAGCTTGTCAAAGAGCCAGATTTAGAAGCAACATTGGCATAGCTTGTATGCAGCGATATAGAGAACAGAAATGCATCAAAGGGCTTTAATTCAATAGACAAAGATATAACAAGATTCAATAGAAGCAGGAAAGAGAAATTTGAAGTGGAAATAAAGCGTATGTTTTGGCTATGGAGATAGCTGGGTGATTGCAAGGATAGATTAGGAGCTGTAGCGAGTTCTCCAGAGCTCATGATCTTTAAATCCAGGCTGGATCTTTTTCTGGAAGCTCAGCTCTCAGCTAACCGGGAGCCGACTCCTTTCCTAAGGTGAATGACTACCGGGGCACGGGGAGGGAAGGGAAGCTGGGAGCTGGTGCGTGCCCTGCTGCGGCGCCGTTTCATTTACAAGCAAATAAAAATCAGGTTAAGCTTTTGTTTTCCTACTGCCTTTTCTCTCTCGCAAGAGCAGCAGTGCCTGCTGTTTGTGCTCAACACTGTGACCCCCTCACGGACGCCCCGGTGGTGCCTCAACGGGATCCCCTGTCCCTGGGCTGAGCGACGCTGCGCTGGGAGGTGGCGGGGGTCTCACGGAAGGGACCTGCGAGCTCTGGCCAGTGCCTCGGTGTCCGACACGCTCTTTGCTTTCCTTTCCCTGCAGCATTTCCCTCTCCTTGGACTCTTCTGATGTTGGCATCAGTGACGTAAGTCTCTCGCACCAGTCTGGGCTTTACTGGGCAGGCCGGGCGGCCGAGCACGGTGCTCTGCGGCTTTGGGGAAGGAGGGAAACAGGCGGTCGCTGCGTGATGCTGTAACGTGTCCTGGCTGTGATGGATTACATCTGCCCATGGTCTTAGTTGTTAGCTGCTCTACTTCGTACGTTGTAGCAGTTCTTTTTGCTGCCTTTTTTTTTTTCCCTTCTGCCTTTTCTAATAACGCAGATGTAAAGCCTGAAGCCCGTTTGTTTGTTCACCCCTGCTTGGGCAAAGCTTACACGTTGTTCCAGCACGAGTTTTGCTGGTAGAAGGTTTCCCAAAGGGAGCACCAAATACAAATTGAGGAAGAAAAGTAGATTTGCTTTAAAGAAAAGAGGGACTATTTGTTCTTTCTCTGTGGCGGTGGGAAGTGATTTCCAGTCCTGAGGGACTGGCTGTCGTCCAGCCGCGGCGTCGGGCTGTGCTTGCCGCTGTCGTGTGCCGCTCACGTCCTTGTTCCTTCTCTGGTTCAGACCTCGAGCTTGAAGCCGCACTGCAGCGTTCTGCTGGTGGAAACGTTACTGCCCCTTATCAACGGTAAGGTGGCCGGGGCAGCTGTGACAGCGGGGTGCTTTGGCTGAGGAGGGGAGCGGGGTACGTGTGCGTGACTGAAAGCTGTAGCAGGAGCGATCAAGGGGCTGCAGTCCCCGTTTGGAGGCTGTAGTTAAAAGTCCCAACCTCATTCTCACACCACCCACCCCAGCTCCAGCCCTCGGGGCCCTGGCCACGGATAGAGGCAGAGAAAGTGAGGAAAGCCAGAGTGCATCGTGCGCGGTGGTGCTGCGGTCCGTGCCCCCGGAGCAGCTCTGCTGCCTTCACCATCCCTGGGAGCAGCTTTGTCGTGGGGTGGGAGCTGGGCTCCCCCCTCCGGCGGTGTGTAAGGACCTGTCTGTCCCCTGCAGGTGCTCTGGGCATCGGGATCCCTCTGCCAAACGTGCTGGACATCCCCTTTGTAAAGGCGAACATTCAGATATCAGTGGTGAGTGTTCAGAAAGGCTGTTTCCTCCTGCCGGGCAGCAGCGCAGGTCGCTGGGGCTGTTCCCGGCAGCCAGCTCCTGTAACAGCCCCTGCCAGTGGTGTCTTGGTGTGCAAGAACTGCAGATTTTAAGCCTGGAAAGGCCAGAAAAGGTTTTTCTGTCTGACCTCCTTCAGGTCAGAAAATGCTGCCTGAGCACCTCATGCCCAGGAGTATTACGGAAGCAGGTATGTGACGAGAGGTGCTCAGCCCCTCTGGGGGACATCCTGGTTCCCCCCTCCAGGCTGCCTTTCCCTCTGGAGAGCTCTGTGGGAGCAGCTCTGCTGTGGGTCCGGGGGGTCTGGCAAGCCCTTTCGAGTGGCACTATTCAAAGTGTCTTGAATTGCACCGAATTCCAGCCCTGTGCATCCTGGAGATGTCCCAGGGGGGCTGGGACGTTCTCTGACACTTCCCGAAGGGGACTGCGCCCCCCTCCTGACAAATCTGACATCTGCCAGAGGGTTTTCTGTTCACTGTGTCCTGCTGACAAGCGGCTGTGAAGCGGCATCCCTCAAAGTTGGGCAATAACAACTAAGTGTGTCGCTCCTTGTGCTTCTTCAGGGCCTGCTGGCGATTCTGGTGTGATCTGGGGAGCGCGAGGCACGGGGAGGCCCTTCTGGGCAGAGAAAGGGGAGAATGACCAGCAAGGATGGAGCATCGAGACCAGCGTTATCTGTTTTCCTTTTCTAAACTTGTTTCAAGATTCTCGATAATATTTAAGACACTTTAAATTTAATTGGCTGGTGTGAGCACTAAGGTACTTGCATGAGCCAGAACCCGGTAGGCAGCTCTGTGTACAGATATTTATTGAGAGAAATCGGCGTGGTTTTGGGCTCACAGCTACAGCAGTTGCATGTGATGCTGCAGCGGAATTGTTAACTTTGTCCTGAGGGAAAATCCTTCTTGATATAATGAAACAGCTGCACGTGGCTTTCTAAGTAAACGTCGCCATCCCTGTTTGGAAGGGTACGACATGCTGAGCGGGAGCTCGGGGTACGTTTGTCATGTAACTCTTTTAATAAACATTCCTACTTTTTTAGTGCTTGGAATGAGGTTCTGGTTTCTGATGCTTCTCAGGGAGAGTATCTGTCCTGGCTTCTGCTACAGGATCGGGCTCCTTTGTGACAGCTGGTCTCTTGGGTTTCCATTTGTAAATCTTTTTCCACTCAAACTTCCCAAGAAAAAACCAAAACAAACCACTTGGATTTTCAGTGGCTACTCCTGCCCAGGTAACCTATGCTAATTCACAAGCAGAAATCAGAATGAAATTGCATTTCCAAAGGTCCTGAAGCATTTCCTAATAGAAGCTGAAGGGAAAACTGAGCAGTGTGAGAACACTGGAGCACACCCAGCTGCCTGCAGTCATCCCCCTCTGCTTAGACTGATGTGACCGTCAGTTGGTCTCTGCATGTCGCAGGGAAAAGAATTTTGGCATTTTTGATTTCAGAAAAAAAAAAAAGGGGTAAAAAATAAATAAATCTGAGGTCTTAAATGGCCTCTCAAACACCTGTTTTTCCCAGCACTAGGCGTTATTACCAGTGTGTTGTTTATTGCTACCGTCCCCCGAGCTAACGGCCGTGCGCCACTGCTAAAGCACGGGTGATGTGCGAGCGGGTCTGGCACCGCTCGGGGGCAATATCCTGTTCTGCGCTTCTGCCTGAAGGTGAGAACGGTTCTTATCTGCCCGGCCAAAGCGCTGGGCTGCTGCGCCCGTTTCCAGCATCCCAGTGGGATGTTGGGGAGGGATCACCAGGCGCAGCAGAGGACGTGCTGGACCCCTCGGCAGTCCCGGTTCGTGCGAACTGCCCAGAGCTCTCCTGGGCTGTGCCAAACGGCAAACGGTGGTGTGCACCGTCACCGTGCGGGCTGGCACGTCTCGTGCAGAAGGGTTTTGGGTGGGTTGAAGGACATGATAACGCCAAAGACCGGCGTTTTGGCGAGTCTGAACGGCTCCTTTGGTTCCCAGCCCTGTGCAGGCTGGCGGTGCCGGTGGGACTGCGCTCCCCAAAGGCTCTTCGGCTGCTGGTAACACGGACCTTGCCGTGTCCCCGGGCAGAAATGGTGCTCCTGCGCGGTGATGGGTCTCCCCGCTCGAGCAGCGTGCTGCGGGCGGCCCCAGCACCACCCAAGCCACGCGAGCGAGGAGTTTCTGCGAAGCAAGAGGGAACGCCGTGGACCGCTGGGCTGTGCTCGTGAGCCGGGAGCTCCAGACCCCACTGCTCATGCCCTCTGGTGCCAGCGTGCCCCTGGTGCTGGCAGAGCGGGGTTTCGGGGCGCGGTGTGACCCCGTCACCCGGGGGCAGGATGAGCAGCCCCGCTGACCTGCGCTGGCAGCCGCTTTGTGCTACCTTGGGGTTACTGGGCTGATGGGGCTTGGCTTCTCCGTCTATCCATTTTGCCCACGGTTTGGCACAACGGGCTTTGTTTGTCCAAGGTTTTGTCCTGGTTCCTGAGCAAACACCTTCTGTACGGTAAGCAAAGTTTAGCACCTTTTCTGCACGCTCTCTTGGCCAGCACTTCTGTGTGCATTCTGGTTTGCTGGAGGGGATTAATTTTGCTGGCACGCTGCAGAGTAAGCTGTGATCTGTCACTGTCCCAGGGGTCTGTTTGAGAAAGAAAAGCCGACGGGAAGCGTGTAACCAGAGAGCTCGCTGCCTTGCTGAGCCGGGGCAGGGGCTGTGCGAGCCTGGGGTCGCAGGGAAGTGGAAAAGGCGCCTTGTGCAGCTGGAAACGGCTTTTCCTCCCAAGGCCTGGCCTCCGTCATGCTGTTTATCAGATGGGGCTGGGTGGGAAGGAGCAAAGGGCAGCATCTCCTTGGTGCAGCTCGTTATTTCTGCAGCTCCCAAATCATCGAGTGCCTTGAATTGCTGGTGGGCTCATGAGTAAATCCAAAGCAGAAAACTGCAAGTCAGAATTCATAAGAACTGGGACAATCCTGTGCACAGTGGAAAAACCCCTGAACAGTCGTTTTCCAGTGTGCTGGCACCCTGACACGCTGGAAAATCTTTTTAGAGGGGAGCAGCGGGAGGGGTGTGGGGGCTGGCTGCTCCCCCCGGGCTGCGAGTGGGACCTCGGGCTCTCCAGCCCTTGCTTCAGGAGTGTCCTGGCAAAGCTGCATCCCTCCGCTGCTCCACGGGGGCTGGCAAAGGGGCTGTGCTCTGTTTCTCCAGTGTTTGATCCATCCGGCTCTCAGGTCCTGCTCCGTTCCCTCCGGCAAGGGAAGCCGAGCGTCGCCAGGCGGCTCTTCCTGCAGGACCCTGGGACGCTGCCCTGGGAAATTATGGATTTTGTTTGTGCCAAATAGGTGGATACAAATGCTTATTTCATCATTTCTTTTTCCAGGCGAATGCCAAGAGACTGCTGGGGACGACAGTGGCTGCCTCCTGCGGAGGCAGTGAATCGAGTGACGGGGGAGCAGCAGAAGGTCCCAGCTCTCCAGCATGAGTCTGCTCTGCCCCCATGGCTGGTCCCAGGCGGGACGTGAGGGCCGGGAGTCGGGGTGTGCAGCTCCCATCACCATAACCCCCCGTGCTGGAGGTGCAGAGCCATGTGCTAAAACCTAAAGCCAGAATATCCACTGGCAGATAAATACATCTTTTTATGACTGTAGCTTATTCCTTTTGGGAAACTGATTTAAGATATATTAGTCAAAGAATAATGGCTGCAGCTCTACCAGGAAACTTTTATTAGGAGCAGTTCCCTCTATTGCCAACTTTGGGCATTAAAATCATTAGTCAGGTCCCCAAGCTGGGCATATAAACCTTCAGGGTTTTTTATGCCTTATAATAAATCAACTTGGCTTGTTTTGTTTGCTTTTCTATTTCTGAGTCTCTGAAATATGAGGGTTTGAAGTGCTTTTCAGCAGCTCCAGAGGCAAGAAACAATGTGTATAGCTGTTGCAAGTGAAAGCAGATGTATGTGTATATAATGAATATGGTTTCACGGGCATCACCGTTGCAGAGCCTTGGTGAGAGCTGCGCAGCCAGCAGTGAGGGTGCGCTCGCCCTGGCCGGAGGCACCTGCCAGCAGCACCCAGTGATGGAGCAACTCGGGCGGCTTTAGGAGCACTGTTCTCAGCCCACCCTTCCACTTCGGACACTCAAATCTCTTGTGGGTTTTTCCCCCTCTTCTAGTTTCCTGAACAACCTCCCGAGCACGGAGGCATGGTTGGTCCGTGGGGGAGAATGTTCCAATACGGACAAACGCACCGTCGGTGCCCTGGGGTGGGCGCACAGCACCCTCACCACGCGTGCAGGCGCGTTTCACTCAGCGTTTTCTCTGTGACGAGCTTTGTCAGAAGTACCGTTTTGCAAACAGAACTGCCTTCACGTCTAAAATTAGAAACCATTGTGCAGACTGATTTTTTTCTTTTTTTTTCCCCTTCTTTCTGACCTAGGGAAAACCACCAGCTGTAACGTTCCCATAGTAACACGAGAAATGGAGGATAAAGCGGATGCAAGATCTCTTGTTGGAGGGGCCATGTCGTTCTGCAGCTGAGAGGCACAGGGCTGCTTTGCATTCTTATAAATTAGTGGAATTTTCATGCTCCCTTAATTAAACGTAAGGTCTGGACATCTGTACTCGTACCACTTCTTAGCGAGACAAAATTCATCTGGCTTCAGGTACAAATCTTGAGGGGAAAAAAGTCAGTAGTCAGACCAGAAAATGCAGCATGAGAGATAAATATTTAATTAAAGCATGGGACGTTGTTACAAACCATCCTCTTAGTGCAACAAAACCACCAAGAGCAGAACTGGAATAGAAAGCCGCTAGTGCAATGCTGTTATTATCCTGAATCTGAGAGTGTGTGGTTTTAGTAAGGCGAGAAAGATTTTCAACGTTTCAAGCCGTGACAAAACACGCAGAGTGACTGAAGAGTCGGCAGAACAACTTCGCCACTGTTTCACTCCGGACCCCAGCCTTCAGCCCGTCGTGGTCTGCTCTCCACTCCTCGCCCGCAGCTCGAGGTTGCAGGGGACCAAGACATAGTCCTGAGCGAGGGGAGGAACGAGGGTCTGAGCGAGGGGCCCGTCAGCCTGCACGGGGCTCTGCAGGCCGATGGCCCCTCCAACACAGCCACCGCTCGGGTCCCTGGGGCTAGAGGGGGGACTCTGCCCATTTAAAGCGGTGAAACTCAGTTCTGCGGGTTAACAGGGCTAGAGGAGCAGGCTCTGATTTATTTTGGAGTCAGGAGGTCAGCATCGCTCCCGGGTCCCCTTTATATCAAACATAGCAGGGAGCAATTTAAATGTCTTGTTTCCTACCTTGTGAATCACGACGTTGACGTCAGCGTAGGTAAAGCTGGAGATGTGGGGCAGGAATACGCCGTCGCTCAGGACCGCTAGGAAAAAGAAGAGGGGAATCACCAGCTGGGCGCCGCCGGCGTCCCCACCGCGCGCCCTGGGCGGCAGCACCCCCGCGAAACTCACCGTTCACCTGCGCCGGTACCTCCTCACGGATGGTGGGCAGAAATAACTCCTCCAGTAAGGCAGCCTGCCGAAGGGGAACCCACGGTCAGCTCGCAGCATGACTCAATCAGAAGGAGAGGGGCAGGGACCAGCAAGAGAGGAGTCCTGATGCTCACTGCACCTCTGCTAATCCCGCACAGACCTGCCTCTCCCTTCTGTGGGGTGCAGCGAGCCCCCAAAGTAAGTATTTCCCTGCTGGTGACTGCTGCCCCGGATGGTTTCGGGCAGTCTAGCCTGGCTGGTGCGGCCGGGGGTGACCAGGCTATTTGGGGACAGTGCTAAGGCGCAGGCTGCTGCATTCAGCAAGTTGCAGCAGCACGGTGCAAGGAGGGGACACGGCCGTGGTCGGTCACTTGGGGAGCGCATGGCTGGGGGCACCTACCGACACAGGACCCACGTCGGAGGCAGCCAGGCTGAGCTCGACATCCCTGGAAAACAGAGAGCAGCGCGGGAGCTGCTTGTAATGAGCTGCAATAAGCAGTGACGTTCGCGTTCCCCCCCAACGCCACGGCCGAGTCCAGGGCCAAGCCAGCGGTGAACCTGGCACCTGGGCACATCTGAGCAGGCAGCTGGAGCCTTAATTTCCGTCCCCCCAGGCACAGCAACAAGGGCTTGAGGACGTTTTGGCCCCCGGCACCCAGACTGAGCACTTTCCCGTGGCCCTGCCGGAGCGGGCAGGCTGCGCTGGGGCGAGCGGGCTGGGGTGCGGGACGCTGTGGTGTCGGGGTCTGGAGCGACGGGCAGGCACTGCCAGGGCCCCCCCAGCTGCAGGCTGGGTTTGCAGATGGGGCAGTCGAGCGTGTGCTTTGCCTGGCAGCGGTGCCGGTGGTGCATCAGGAACAGGCAGAGGCGGGTGGTGTTGGCGTGTGCCGGTCCCCCGTGTGCGCCTGTGCCGAATGCGGGGGGCGGGAGGGGACAAGTTCACTTTTCTCTCTAACCACGTTACTGGAGTCTCACCATTTCCCTCAGGATAGAGCTACATCTGCAATGCCCAAACCACAAAATCTAAGAAATTCCCTGGACCACTTTGCCTCTCCTTTCCCTGTCACCGCTGGGACGTGTCCCCTTCGAGGACTCGGAGCGCAGCTGGGTTCATTACTCTATCACTGCTGCAGAGATCATCATCCTTGTGTCGGCGACGCTAAGGAGGAGTCCTGCAGACATATCCTGTGAGGGGGAAAGAGAGGGCACGATCAGAGTGAGCAAATGGTCCCGCTTCAGCTGTCAATAGTGGGATGTGCTGAACCCATCTCGTGCTGCCACCTGCAACGTGCTCCTCGTGCCCTGCTCTGTGCAACGGAGGCAAACGCTGCTCAGGTTCGCGAGCACCACAACAGGTAAAGGCTAAACCAGCCTCCTGTAACAGCTGCAATCGGGCTGGGTCTTGGAGCAAAGGGCATTGCCCCTGTGCAGCTCGGGCGCGCTCGCAGAGCACCTTCCCCGTGCTTGCAGAACACGCTCGCAGGGCACACTCACCACGTTCACACTCAGGAAGCTCTGGAAAGTTGTCGATCCCGCCCCGACGTGGATGGTGAGGAAGAGCTTCAGGGCTGCCTTGCCTTCCTCCAGCACCACCCAGGGCGAGCTCCTCACCACGGCTTGCAGTACCACTGGTAGGTCCTCCTGGAAGAGCGAGCCCATCTGCCGAGGGAGGGGGGTTATTTCTGGGCACTGCACCCCCGAGGTGGTGGGCACTGCCTGAGCTGGTGCTGTGCCTCTCGGAGCAACGGCAACAAACCTGAGTAATCTTCTCTGCCGTGGTGGTGGTGGTCAGCAGGCTCTGAAAGACAAAGCACAGCTCGTGATCCCACCGATGGTTGTGTGGGGGCTGCTGCTCTGGGGCTTGTGCCCAGCACGGCCACGAGAAGCCTGCGGGTACGTGCCAGAGCCTTCCTGCATGCCAGCATGTGCCAGGAGCGGCGTTCTGGTTACTCTTCGTGGCAAATCCTCCATACATCGTCAGGTGAGCAGTATTCTCGGGAGCCTGGGGCACTCAGAGACACAGTCTCGTTTCTTTGCAGGACGCACGGCTCCTCCAAGCCGTTCGTGGGGCAGGGCTGTCCCTCCAAATGCATATTCCCTACCCCTTCCTTGCTCACGTGCTCTACTCACCGGGATGGTCATGTTGAAGGCTCCAGCTATTTCCAAGGCAGAGAAGAGGCTGGTGTAGAAGTGTTCAGAGAAAGCCAGGGTGAGGTGGGAAGGGCTGGAGCTCGCCAGCTCGGGCATGCTGAACGGCACGGGGCTGACTGGCAGCGGGATCGCCACCCCCGCCACCTGGAAAGTCGTCTGCAGGGACACAGGCAAGGAGGAAAGGAGTTTGAGGTGTCTCGGGGTACATCGCACTGGAAGGAAGTGGCTCTCCCAAAGCCTGGAGCTGTGAGTGCTGGAAAGCAAGGACTTACCTGCAAGGACACAGTGATTCCCTGCTCGGAGAACACGGGTGCAGCCAGGGGCAGGTACTGGACCTGGCAGCTCGGTGTGACGGGGAACTGAGCTGCAAACCGGGCAGAGGGACGCTCAGAGAGGGGAGGGGAGCAGTGACGGCAGGTTGGGGGCGGGGAGGGGC